AAATTTTGGCATACGTTAAGTCACCAAATTAAAAGGTTTTCTGTGATCAAATAGGCCAGACTTGACATATTATCTCAGAATAATTAAAATAGTTACATCTTATTCAGAGCTATCATTTTAAAACATTTCTGTGAAACAACTGAAGATAAAGTGAAATTGTTTTTATTTGTTTAATTTTACTAGATTTGGTCCAAGGTGATCAGTTTTTGTTTGATATGTTTATATATTTATACATAAAAAAGGATGGTAAAAATATTTTCTTTAATTCTCTACAGTAGTACCAAAATGAGATAATTATATTAACTTTGGTTTGAACAGTATGTTTAACTCTGTTGAGAAAGATTGTCCGTACAATACAAAATGAATAGATTAAGAATGTACTCATATATATAAGTGTAATGCAAGGAGGCCTGGCAGCATAAGGAGTATGTAACATATCAGGTTCCCCCCCAAAAAGTCAGAGATTCAAACCCACCTGCTGATTCTCAGGAGAAAGATGAGCAGTCTCCTTTCTTAAAGTTTTGCAGCCTCAGGAATGGTTGGAAGGTCACTGTGAGTCAGAAGTGACTGAGCAGTAATGAACATGTGGATTAAGCACATTGCAACTTCCCTTATAATTGATTCATGTATCCAATGACTCCAACAACTTGTCTTAGAGCTCTCTGGTTTGAAGTATGGATTATTCATTTGGTCACTCATTTTCTTATATATTAAATTATTAAGTGAATATTTATCTCCATTTATGTGTCCATCATGGCAGTCCATGCTAAGAGTTGGGTGGTGTAAAATATTGAAACTCTTAAGCCAATTCAAATTGTATTCAATACCAGGTTCCATATTATTCTTAAGACTCAGATTTCCACATTATGACAAAAATTGTGTAAATGTCATTTCTTTCTCTCAGATAGGACCTTATAATGATGACTTCTTGGAAGCTAACATTTAAAAATGAGCCTAATTAAAATAATAAATTAGTTAAAGACCATTGTGTGAATGTTCCAAGATATTTCACCCAGAAGAGAAAGTATCCCATATTCATTTGCTACATGAACCTGAATTTGGGATTGTAACAGTAAAAAATGTGTACAGATGAGGGAAATTTTCTTATATACGTGCCTTTGATACATAGATTAAAATAAGTTTTTTCCTTAACTAATTGAACCTTTAGGGGAAAAAAATTAACTTTTTGGCCTATACATATTAAGGTTTGTTTAGTTCTTCCATGTGCCATTCTATTTTTATGCAGGACCTTGCCAATATACTAGTAAGAATAGAACAGTTCTTAAAATACACGGATTTAAGGATGCAATAGGAAGCTTTGGTGGCCTAATGGCAAGAAGCTACACTGCAATCACGAAGGCACTTGGTTCGAGGCCATCAGCTGCTCCATGGGAGAAGGATGAGCAAGATGGGCAGTCTCCTCCCATGTGATCAACTGCTTTCTGATAACCTGCTGCAGAGTCAGCTATGGATTGTTTCCACAACAGCCAAGATGTAATTGTAAAAGTGTGAACATTTCAAAGAATCACTTTATTTTTGTTGTTTTTCTTAAAATAATAGTTTAACAAGGCTACATCTAGAACAAGAAAAAAATATCAAGCATGTTGGGAAGTTTGAATCCTCCAAGAAACTCATTTCTGGGGCAAATGGAGTTTTAGAGTTAGTTCTTTAACTATACCACAGGGTGGCAGTAATACAGTATAAAACAGAAGGAATGAGGCCTAGTGGAAAGTTACTCTGTACAAAGAATCTTTTTAATCCCACCAATTCATTAGGCACATTCCCTATAAAAAAGTGATTCAAATATTTATTAAATCAATAATTAAAATTATTATTACACGAGTAGCCAAAATATTTGGAGGCACATCAAATAGTATGTATGTGGCCCCATATTAAAGTAATTTTATATTTCTTTTTCATTGGTACTTAGGAAGTGAAAGAGGTGTGGGACTGCTATTATACTTTTCTTCAGTTAACTGATTTCCCTGTCATAATTATGGAAAACTATAATTTCTGTGCCTACTCACCTACCACCAAGTGATTTCTGGATCATAGCAGGATACAACAGCCCCAGATAAGTTTTCCAAGACCACGTATTTTTGAGAGAACTTGGAAGGCAAGTTCATAGGAATTGCGCTGATTACCCAAAGGCTATACTTCGGTGGCATGTACTTTGGTGAATGTATTTAGTGATTCTTAAAGGGAAGCATACTGTCTCCTTCCTTGTGGTTTACAGGCAGGCTAGGAAGCCCTGTGGAGAGTCAGCTATAAGTTGGTTCTGACTCGGTGGCAGTGAAAGAGCTCGTGAGCTTCTCTGTATTTTAGCCTGCTGCCTCATCACTCTTCCACAGAGTAGGAGGTGGGTTTAAACCACTGACTTTCAGTTAACAAACCCAACATTTAACGTGCTCTGCCACTAGGGTTTCAAATTTACATACAAAAGTATAATTCTTTCAAGTGAAAAATATTATATGTATTGTTGTTAGGTGCTGGTGAGTTGAGTACGACTCATAGCAATGCTATGAACAAAAGATCCGAACTCTGTTCTGTCCTGGGCCATCCTCCTACTTCCTGACACACAAGAGCCCATTGCAGCAGTCACCGTGTCAGTCTACCTGGTTAAGGGTCTTTCTCTCCTCTGCTGACCCTCCACCCTTCCCAGTAACATGTCCTTCTCCAAGGAATAGAAGATACATTGCTCCATACATAAACATATGTTAGAAATATTGTATAAATATTATAATTATAAATTATCTTTTAGATTATTTGGAATTCTTAAAATTTCAGTTACCATTTGAAAAAAAATGCAAATAGTATCTTTAAATATGTCTCCATTTATACAAATAAACAGTGAAGGGAAAACATTCTACATTCTTAATATGGCAATGATTCAGTTAGTCAATACAGGCTATGTTCAAATATCCAAAAACCTGTAAGAAACACGAACGGGATGGTGGGGGGAGACCATGTAGTGGGCTTAAAATTTTTATACAATTATAATTAAATGTGACAGACTGTACACTTTGACACAAAGCCTTGATTTTTATATCCTCCAAGGGCCCCAGATAGGTGACTATATGGAGTTAGGTGAAACTTTTGTAGTAAAAACAAATAAAGCAACAAACTGTTTTGACTGGTATGTTTTTGGCTGAGCCAAGTGTTTATTTGGACTATTTGATGAATAACATCAGTCAAAATAATTATATAGTGTGTTGCTAAGTGTAATCTCTATGCTATTAGAAATGTTTACCATCCAAAAACACTGATATGATAACTCACACAGTACTTTTTATTGAGAATGTTTCATAGAAAGAAATGTTTTATTAGAGAGTTGTAGCAGTAGCAGGGATAACTGGACAAAGCAGTACTTTAGTTCGAAAACTGTAGACTTATTTTCAAATGTTTATTATAGAAGAGATCCCCCTGCGTGCTTTCGGAGCATCTGGAGTTTCTTCTCTGAATTCACGTGACAATTGTTTAAGGTTTTACATTTAAATTGAATTATCAGGTAGGGTGGCCAACTTGCTTATAAAAATATTTCCATTTTGCAGTAAGTTCAGCTATGTAAGCTCTAACATTACATTGGGCTCTATAGCCAGCCCTCAACAAGAGCCAAATTGACAAAAAAAAAAGGAAACTATTGCTGTTTTGAAGGGAATACCTGGGGGGAAGAGAGAGAGAGAAGAGAGAAGAGAGAGAGAGAGAGATTGACCAACCAGTTGTGGAGAAGAGTCACCAACTTCTATTGTTAATTTAGTACCAGCATTTAACCTTATCATTTGCAGTGATTGACATAAAAGTGTCCCACCAAATGGCTTTTTTACATAAAGCGCTGAAGCAATCCTGGGCAACTTAAGGGTAACTTACAAAGAGTTTCCTTTCAATGAGACAAGAACCTTCCCAGGGCTCCATTTGGGGGCACAGATTGTTATGATGTGATCTGTGTGGTCAAGACTAGTGGAAGAACAGAGAACAGATGTGAAATCTCTTTTGAGATTTATTCTCTGGAATCATGTGCAAAAGGTAAAACAGACAAAGCAATTAAAAAATCATCAATTTAAAGAGTCAATCAACATGAATTAGAGAAAACCTCTTAGCAGAGTTTATGTTTCAATAATGTTATAAACCAGAATTTGAAATCACGGAAAAATGATATTCTGCATGTTTATCTGTAGAAAAGCTCAAATTTTAAACTATGAGCACTAGTTTAACTAGACTATGTTTTAAAAAAATCATTGTTAAATGATAATTTAAATTGTTCTTTCTCTTACATTTATATTAGTTTATAGAATCACTTGAATTTTTACTTATTAAACTAAATTAAAATATTATGAATGTACAAAGTAGTATAAGATAAATTTAATTGAAAAATAAGATGATCATTTAATATCTATTTTAGTAAATGCATAAGTTACCTACATTTAAAAAGCATCTCCTTTTAATTTACTGTTCTATTGTTACTACTTTAAGTTCTAACATTTGTTTCTTCTATTACAAAGTAGAAGCACTCATGTTCTAATTCAGCATATGAAGTTCAATCAGATGCAAAGATCTCATTTTTTTGTTAATGAATTCTTAGTGCTAGTCCTCCTTAAGGGTTAGAATAGAACATAAGGCATTCACTTGTTAATTTAGAGACTAGAGGCTTCCTATACTTCAATTAGCAAAGGGATTTCTATCCTGAGCCTTTACTAGGTTCAATTTTTATTATCATAGTGATGAGCTGAATAATGTAATTTTTAAAAAATGTTAGCTAATGTTTATTTGTTAACAAATAGCATCAGGGAAATGGAATATGACATTTATTGAGATTTATTGACACAGTGGCTGCAAAAATAGGCTTAGGTAACAGTAGTAATTGGGCAGAAAGCCTGGATAATTCAGTCCGCAGTGCATGGAATTACTACAAGACCCAACTCATTGGCACCTAACTACAAGTAACGTGTTTTGCCACTCAGATAAATTGTATTCAAGCTAACTTTTTTTTTTAATTCATCTAGGTACGTGTATTTACATTTTCAGTTGGTCAGCATAACTATGACAGAGTGCCTATTCAGTGGATGGCTTGTCAAAATAAAGGTAACAGATATGTTTTCTTGACAATATCTAATTAGAACAAAAATATTCTGATAGCTCTAAATAGTTCTACATAGTATCACTGAAAAGTAACTTAAATTACTTAAATTACAGCTAATTTATAGAAAAATAAAAAACATAGTTGTGTATATATTTTATAAAGAGAAAGAATATATATATGCAATAGACTGTGATAGCGATGATACATAAAACATAAAATCTAAGCATAATATTGTGCATTTTAAAAGACAGTACTTAGTGAGGCTTCTATTATCAAATATAATTTTACTTGAAATATTAGAAACAAGAAATAATATGAGCATTTTCTAAAATTTAGACTAAAAATGTGACACATATGTACGTTTTCCACTGAGTGCTTAAAGTATTGTTGTTGTTGTTATGTGCCATCAAGTCGCCTGTGACTCATAGCAACCCTATGTACAACAACCCTAAATCCTGCTCTATCCTGTGCCAATCTAACTGTCTCCAACACACCTACCCTGACTACCATAGTCACTGAATCAATCCACCTCACAGAAGGTCTTCCTCTGCTGCGGTTTCCCTCCACGCTCCCAAGCATGATGTCCTTCTCCAAGGATTGGTCCCTGCTTGCAACGTATCCAAAGTATGTCAGACAAAGCTTAGGAATCTTTGCCTCCAAGAAGAAGCCTGGTTTAACTCTGTCTAGAATGAACCTGTTCATTTTCTTAGCAGTCCATGTAACACTCAATACTCTTCTCCAACACCACAGCTAAAAGGCATCAATTTTCCTCCTATCCTCCCTAGTCATTGTCCAACTCTCTGAAGTATAGCAAGTGATTGCAAAGACCATGGCCTATATCAGGTGAACTTTAATCTCTAGAGTGACAACATTGCTCTTCAGTACTTTGGAGAAGTCCCTAACATCAGACTTTCCCATTGCAATACGTCTTTTAATTTCCTGGATGCTGATGCCAAGCATATTGACTGTGTAGCTAAGCAAACAAAAACTGTGAATAATCTCAATCTCTTCACCATCCATCCTGATGCTGCCATTGGCCTAGTGGTGGGAATCTTTGTCTTCTTGATTTTGAGCCTCAATCCATATTGGAGGCTGCAGTACTTGACCTTCTGCAGCAAGTGCTTCAGATCCTACTCAGTTTCAGCAAGCAGGGTTGTGTCATCTGCATAATGCAGATTGTTGATGAGTCTTCTACCAATCCTGATGCCACACTTCTCCTCATACAGCCCAGCCCCCGGGGTAATATGTTCTGCATATAGGTTAAGAAATTAGGGAGATAGTACACATCCCTGAAATACACCCTTCCCAAATTGGAATCATGCAGGTTTCTTTGCTCTGTTCTGACGACTGCCTTCTGGTGCAAATATAGGTTTTGCATTAGAACAATCAAGTATTCTGGGATTCCCATTCTTCTCAAAGTTAGCCACAGTTTGTTATGATCCAAAGTCAAACACCTTTGCATAATCAATGAAACATAGATAGACATTCCTCTGGCACTCCCTGCTTTCAGTCAAGATCCATGTAGCATTAGCTACAATATCCCTAGAATCATGACCCCTTCTAAAGCCGGCCTTCATTTCTGACAATTCTCTATTGATGTGCTGTTTCAGTCGTTTTTGGATAATCTTCCACAGAATCTTGCTTACATGTAATATCAATGATATTGTTCAATGATTTCCACACTCTGTTGAGACACCTTTCTTTGGAATGGAAACAACTATAGCTTAATATCAATTTCTTAAATAATTAAAATTTTGTCCAGTAAACTCATATTGCTTTTGTATTTTTTAAGAAAAATAGGATATTATTTGAAACATAAAATATGGTCACATTGTAATAAAAGCAATATGAATGTGTTCTGAGGTATATATTTTATATAAATATAAAAACTGTCATATTTTCTAATTTTACATATTTATTAATTTATCCAATTATATGTCTTTTTAATGATTATCATTTCCCAACTGCTTTGTAGTAAAATTACATTTCTTTTATACTACTGTAATAAATATAGCAGAATTGTCATAAAACCTTTTATTATGTCTATGTGTGTATGTGTGTGTGTAATAGTGTTTTATACACACACATACATACAGGAGTGGCATCCACTTCCTAAACAAGATGTCTCCAGAAACTCAATGAACTTTGATAAATGTCAATAGTTATAGAAAGGCTTCAGGCCTTTTGTTCATAGACTCACTTGAGTCGTGCTCAACTTGAAGACAATCAACAACAAAAACAACATATATTAGTTAACCAGTTTCCAGTTTCTTCAAATTGATCATTGAATATTTGTCTCATATATTAAAATATATATCTTACAAAGACAAAATTATTTTCTCATTTTAATAATAATTAATATAACATTTAAATATATTTCAGGTTATTATTATGAAATTCCTTCCATTGGAGCGATAAGAATCAATACTCAGGTACAATTATTTAAAATATCTTTCTATTTTAATACAATGGTTTTTCTACATTAAATTTTGAAATATATTCATAATGTAAACTACTGGTGAAAATGAAGAAAGATCCCGGATGCTGAATTTGTGTTAAAATATATGCCCATCATTATAATATATTGACTGTTTGCTCATTGAGGTTTCAATTGTTTTTAGAAATCCAAAACTCAGGTAAACAATCAAACTCAAAAATAGACATTTCATTTGTATTATTATTGGATGATTAAAGCAATAAAGAAAATAAACTTAATGAAATTTACCAACAATCCTATTTCATGCAATCAATCTGACTTTGCATCTATTGCCGATCATTTAAGAATCTTAAATTGTGTGAAGATTATAGATAAACAATAATTATGTAAGGACCTATTTAATACTCAGGGAAGTTTTGTGCCCTAATGGTGAAGAAATGTCTTGCGACCATAAGGCGCATGGGTTGGATTACCAGTCACTCTGGAGATAGATGGTTAATCAACCCTCATGCTATTGACTGTCAGTTAAAGCCCACTAGAAGGTCATCTGTGAGTCAAGTCTGACTCCATGGACACATAACAGCTGCTGTGTAGCGCTTACATAAGATAAAAAGGCGAACTCACTGTCACTGAGTTAGTCCTGAACCGCTGACCTTTTGTCCAGCAGCCCAACACGTAAATGCTGTGTCACCTGAGCTGCTCTGTAGATCTACTTTCCTTATAAAAATGCAGCTGCAACTAGGTGATGTACTGTCTATTACCATTTGTTTGAAAACATGCTGTTCGATAATTAAGCTAAGTAATGTCTGATTTTAGATATTTATAAATTACCACTTACAGTAATTACTGATTTTGTCACATAGGTGGTGATCAACAGAATAGACTATGTCAAAAGTTAACATACATAGCATAGCATCTGTGGAACTTAGTAATGAGTACATTTGAATGTTTCATTGAAGCAGTCTGATGTCAGGATTTGGCACTCTATTTAATTTCTTTTTGATATGGTTAAATATAGTTTGAATTCCAGCCAAAAAGTTTGTGATGTGAAAGCAAACATGCAGATGCTTTAGTATTTTAAATTTGTGCAATTCTACCAGTAAATCAGAGCACTTCAAATAGTTTAGATTAACAAAAAACAATTCAAAAGGCATATTTCACTTATCATTGCTATACTTCAGAAATAGAATGTTGTAACTGTTGCTCCAGCACATCAGGGATAGATACATTGTATAAAGAGATAAGTAAAATTTTGGCAATTCATAATATGGAGACATACCGTTTATGGAGTAGCCAATGTAAAAAATAATGGTTATATACCCTCTTAATTTTAATCCCACATTCTTTTTTAACTCTAGATTTTCCTTTTCTTTATAGTGATTTTGTTCCTGTAACACAAGTATTTGGGCTGTGCTGTTTTGTTTTGTTTTTCTATGTAGGAATATTTGGATGTTCTGGGAAGGCCCATGGTTTTAGCAGGAGACAAAGCTAAGCAAGTCCAGTGGACAAATGTGTATCTGGATGCATTGGTAAGATGTTGAGTTATTCAACCAAAACCAAATGTCATAATTTAGATACACAATTCACTTCTGCATAATTTTTGGTGGTCTTTCCATTTCCAACTCTATTTAACCCTTTCTAGGGAACTCTGGTGGCCTAGTGGTAAAGAATTGTAAAGTTTCCTCCCATGTAATTTAGAGTCTCTAAAAACTCACTGAAGGGTCGGCTATGAGTTGGTTCTGACTCAATGGTACATAGCACAGTGAGGCAAGGTTCAAATCTCTCAAGGTTCAAATAGAGTTGCTATGACTCGTCGGTACTTAATGGCACTTACCAGCAGTCCTGGATGTGCTTACCAGTCAGTCTGTGCCAGAAAATTGGGGAGCATAACTGCCTGGCTCAATCACTGGAAGAGATCCGTATTTGTTCTCTTTTCCAAGAAATATGATTTAACAGAATGTGGAAATTATTCAGCAGTATCATTAATATCACATGCTAGCAAAATACTGCTGAAAATCATTCAAAAGTGGCCAGTACAATACACAGACAGAGAACTGCCAGAAGTTCAAGCTAGATTTAGAAGAGCCCGTGGCACCTGGAATATTACTGCTAATGTCAGTTGGATCCTGGTTGAAAGCAAAGAACACCAGAAGAATGTTTGTGCTTTACTGGGTATGTAAAGGCATTTGTGTGGATCATGACAAATTATGACCTAACACAGAGAAGAATGGGAAGCTCAGAACATTTAGGTGTTGTCATGTGAAACATATACCCAGACCAAGAAGCTGTTGTGCAAACAGAACAAACTGTATGATCGTGCAGTTGTGTTGAGAAGGTGGAGTGTCAGTGAAAAACAGGAAGAACCCCAACGTGATGGGGTAAGACAATGACTGCAGCAATAGGTGCGAGTATGTCAGAGTGTAAGGATAACACAGGCTCGAACAGGGTCCAGATCTGATCTTCACAGAGTCACTATAAATTATATTCAACTCAAAGGCACATAACAACAAAACCAAGCAGCAATGGCATGAGGGAACTCTGGTAGTACAGTCCCTCAGGAGTTGGTCTGCTAGCACAAAGGCCTCTCTGGCTGTTCAAAGCCACAAGTTGCAATGGGGGAAAAAGTCCCCTTCCAAATAATTTATGATCTCTGAGAATTCACAGGAGAGGCAGCTGGAAGATGGTTCCAACTTGACACCAATCAGGTTGAGTTTGAGCTTAACTCGAGCTTGTAGGGAACTCTGGTGCCGTAATCTTTAGGGAGTTGTGGTGTTAACACAAAGGCCACATCCTTCTGCTGGTCCCACTCCAACAACAGATCTAGAAGAGAAAAATGAGAATTCTGCCCCCATTCAATTTATGATCCCAAGAACCAAATAGAGGATCCGCTGTGACTAGAAGACAATGAGAAGGAAGAGTATTTCTTTTATCATCACTTTCTTTACCAAAATTTAACTAGTTTATACAACGATCTAAAGTTCCATGCGTTAGAAAACCATGAACATAAAATGTTTTCTCAAATTCTAATCTAGATTTCACACATTAGAATCTCGAGTTTAAAAGCATTCTAGTAATTTTCTGAATTTTCAAAGCAAAATGAAAAAGCCACCCTTAAAGTTGAAAGTTGTGTTGACAGATGAGAGTCTGTTAATAGACTTGAAATAGAATTTTGAAGAAAGTATTAAAGGACACTTTAACTAATGGAAAGATTTTTAACTTTTGTAAGATGACCAAACACACTAAATCTCAAAAGTATATTCAAAAACATTCCTCTTTCTTCCCTGAAGTCATCACATACCTAGTGTCTCTCTCTATATATACTGCCTGGGTGGAGATTAAGACTCAAATACATTTCTGGAAACATCCCATTGAGGTGATTAAAACCTTATGAAATAATCAAAATAAATTAATATGTCCATTATACAATTATAATTTTAATACAGATATTCCATCATATCGTAAAACAGTGGTTCCTAGTGCAGAGTGGAAATGGTAGGGATCGTTTTCCTCACAGGTTATGTTACCCTAACTGGGAGAGTATCTTACTAATAATCACTGATGGGGTTAACAGCAAAAGATCCTGCAATCCACAAGTCATACGCACACAGAAATACCGGGAGTACCAATGAAAAACCTTGTTTAATACTTTTACATTTATAGTATTAAAGCTATGCATAGTATTGTATCTCATCTTTGTAATATGCCTAACATTAATGAAAGGACTTTATTAATTACTTTAATGATATATTAAAAATATTAAAACTTTCAAGTCATGAAATGTAAATGCTGATACAATAATCTTTTTTGCTACTTGGACATCAATTATAGACTGATATTAGTTTTCTAACTACATATTGAACCCAAAGGGCAAGATGTAATCCGTTTAAAATTACTTATCATTGGAGTCTTGTAAAATAAACACATAAAGGAAGTCCAAAGAAAAATAGAAACGATTAACAGCAGCTTTGCATGCTAAGCAAGATAAGGTGAAGCTTGCTTACCTCAAACTTGAGCTAAAATTACTGTTAGTATTCCCTCTTGACATCACATATTTATTTAAGGTCGCGTGGTCATCTAAAGCTATGGTCACAATGTTGGAGTCTTTCAAAACCATCAGAGAACAGTGTATGACATGGAGAATCAATTATTATGTCCTATCCTATTTCCTATGACCAGAAGTTCATTAACCAGTATGTCTGCATCACTGGCAACATTCTTACTGATAGCACCAGTGACATGAGGAGGAAATGTGGGTTTCAATGTGGTATCCTACAAAGTGTAACCAATTTAAAACAAGAGAAAATGAGCCTCAACAACTGGAAGACATTTTTTCCCCCAGATTTGAGAAGTATACCACCACAACTTAGTTTGTTAATTATACACCTAGCAAACTCAAAATTCTTATTGCTAAAATCAGTTTTATTAACAAGGAGGAAAAGAGATAATAATAACCCCAACAAAGTGTAACAATGAGAAAAAGACAAAGAATTTTAGAAAAGAAGCTAGATATTTGTGGAAAAGGGGTGTGGTTTCAAAGATGACAACATTTTCGCTGATCTTGTTAGGGGGGTCTGCTTGGTAAAGTCCAACTTCAGCTCCTAACCAAGAGTCTGTGTTGTTTCTAGAGATTCAAATCCACCAGCTTCTCTGAAGGAGAAAAATGAGCAATCATCTCCTGTTAATATTGACAGCCTTTTAGTTAGAACCCACTTGATGGCAGTGAGTTTGAGGAGGTGTTTTCTGGGTGTGTGTGTGTCTCTGTGTGTGTGTGAGAGAGAGAGAGAGAGTGTTTAAGTATTATTAGTAGAAAGAAGTTAAATATTCTACACAGAGAGGATGTAGTATAAAACTGAGGAAGAACTGGCTGTGTTGAAGCTCTTGGTCACCTCTAGAAATAACAGAAGTAATGAAAAACAAGATGAAGCAGAATTCTGGAGGAATTATACATATAGTGTTGGTTTCACTTTATTGGGAGATGCAATTAGAATATTTCTTAAAAGCCTGGCTTCTCAAAAGTGAAGATCTAGTTGGGCTCTGGAGGATAGCACACTTGGGTCAGTTCTTTTTGTTCTTCAGTGGCTTGTGTAGTTTGCAAAGATGGAGTGAAATTGTGTTTCATAGCAATATGAGAAATGGAAACTTACTATAAATAAGATCATTTAACAAGCATCTTAAATTCAATATGTTAGTATCCTGGTTTTGGTGTACATTATCACTCTAGAACAAATCACAATACTGTATGCCATAAAGTATGTAAGGAAAGAAGTTACATGTATAGTACACTATCTTTTACAGCTGTAGTGTTTGGGTTTTTAAAATGTGCATAGAAACTATAACTTAGGTACAAAGTTCACCACAAGATATCATCAGGATACCAGTTTCGTAATGATTCTGGATTCTGGCTTCATTAAAGTGGGCCTCTTTTATTGTGAATTTTATTTGCATGAATAATGAAGAATGATTTCACTGTTGAATGTTCTAGCTTAGAACCAGATTAAGAGCCAATACGTATCCAGTCATGCACATAGCCACAGAAATGAATTATAGTTATTTGGCACAATTTGATTACTTTAGCTCGCCTGAAGTCTTCTCTATGATTGCCTTTTCTAACAAATTCAGTTACCATTCTTTTTGGTTCGCCAAATGTATGGTTCTAAATCATACATGATTTAGATATTTTCTCTCCATTGGCTCCTGTGTAGCTCAAATGTTTAAGCGTCTGGTGCTAAGCGCAAGGTTTGAGGCTTGAGTCCACTGAGATGTGCACTGGAAGGAAAGGCTAATGACTTAACTTCTAAAAAAGTTAGCCACTGAAGGTTCTATAGAGCACAGTTACACTGTGATACACATGTGGTCTGTATGAGTTAGAAGTGATTGAATAGCAGCAACTGGATTTAGAAGCAATATTGCTGCTCTTAAAGAGCAAACATTTAAAAACAAAAAAACCCTCAGTGCTTTCAACATAGTTCCATTTGAGAGCCACCCACTCTCAGGTCTCCAAGGCTGTAAATGACAGGGTATGAATAGTGGTAAGAAGCTGTGCTGCAGTCACAAAGGTATGTGTGTGGTTCAAATCCACCAGCTACCCTGTGGTAGAAAGATGGGTATTATACTCCTACAGCCTCTGAAAACCCACTGGGGGGTCAGCTATGGGATGTTCAGACTCGACAGTAGTTAGCAACAGCACCTCCTTCGAAGCTACTGGTGGATTCGAACACTTTGGCATGTAAAGTGTTTGGGTTAGCAGCATAACTACCCATAGATTACAGCACCAGTATCTCCATAAAGTATTCTAAAAGTGCAGTATCAATAATATGTTTCTTCTGTTTATAATATTGTTTGCTTCACATTTGTGAGTTAGCATATAACTGTGGGCTTAGGGCATAAAAGAATTAAGAATGAAGTTACAATAGGGAAAGTAAAGAAATTATTTAAAATAATATTTTAGCATTGTTCTACGTAATTCTGTAATATTAGGTAAAATTTGCTGTATAAAAAAAACACCAACAACAAACAAAGCAAATAAAAAACAGGTAGAGGGAAAGTTATCAGAATTCTTAGATACTATTGTTTCTTTTGTAAATAGATTCTCTAAATTGTTTATTTTCAAGATCTTTTATAGGATCATTTTAAATAGTATGCTTCAGAACATATCATTTACATTGACTCTTCAAGGCATTTTAATTAACAGTCTTTTGGAAAATAGACTTTTAACAGAGTCACTAGATTAAAAATCCTGTGGTTCTGTGGAGCTTTTTAATATAGTTATTAAGATGCAATATAAAAAAATCAAACATGAATGCAGTATGGAAATGTTTATATTGTAACTTTAATTTGCTTTTTTTTTCTGTCAATTTATTTTTAGGAACTGGGACTTGTCATTACTGGAACTCTTCCGGTTTTCAATGTAACTGGCGATAATAAGGGAAACATAAAGGTTAAAAGTTCATTGTTAAAATTAATAATAGTAAACTATAAACTATGATACTAAAATTCAATGTAGTTAAGCTTTTTCTTTGAGAAATATACACAGCATAGTTGTCTTCTAAGGTCAGATAGGAAAGGTAACAGCTACTTATGTGAGAACTACCTGGAAAAAGAAATGGCAGGTCAAGCTCCCTGTTGCCCTGTGAGCCAAGATGTAACTTTCTTGTCTTTAACTAAAACTCAATTGGAAAAAAAATCCAGACTCTGGAAATAATTATATGATAAGTGGACAGTAATACTGTGTGCACATTTTCAAAATAAATCTTAGATATTCATAAAATTCAGATGGGGAAAAAAAGGAAAACTGGTGATGTTTATGTCAGGTCTACATCATTTATTGTTTGTTAAACCTTTCCTAATCCAACTTCCATTCAAACAATAGTTTTATATGATCAAGAACTGATTTAAAGGAATAGTTCTCATCATGTTTACTTTTAAGATTCAGCAAAAAATGCTTAATAAGTTCCAGAGAAAGTCTTTATTTCTATTTCTTGTTTCTATTGCTTGTCAACACAATAATATGTATCTTGTTCCTTTGAAATGCCATTTCTTATTTTACTTTAAATAAAAAGTTGCATCCTATTTTTTACATTAATTCAAAAGGCATTTAAGACAGTTGGAGAGGTTGTTGGGTTTTTTTTATGTTTTAAACTTCTATGACACAGTTCTGTTGACATTTCTTTGTTTGAGAGTATATTTATTTTCCATTTATGTTATAATGATGTCTCTTGCACTTAACATTATTTGTTCATTGTTATAAATAGTGTAACTTCTTATTTTAATGAAAAAAACATTAAAATATTAGTTACTTCTCTTTTGAATTCTACTAACATTTTAAGTATAATAAGTTCTAAATATTGTTGATTCATAAAGGACCAATTCTCTTATTCCTTCTTATATGTGTTTATTGATTGTATAAGTTATTACACTATGGGCTTTGTAATAGTTTGCATTAATCTTAGAGTTTTGCTTAGAATAAGATTAATTCACGATATAAAAAGAATAAGGGCTATATATGAATGACCATATTTGGCTTCTACAAACTCCACAAAGTATAACTGTTCTCATCAATAACATCCACAACACATAAAAACAATTCCTATGAGGTCAGATATGTCCCTCCCACTATCATACCTCTTTGTATTCATCCCCAAAGCAATCTTACTGCATTACTGGGTCCAAAACCCATTGGATTATCTCACAGACTGGACAGAAAAGCTATAGTAAGGAAGTCAAAAGACTAATTCAGAATAGTTGAAGAATACTATCACTCAAGTCAATATAGCTCCTGAAACGTGCTCACTTGGCACCTCAGCCTACAATCTTGTAGCTTTAGGCTCTTCGTCTTGCCAACTGTAGGTCTTCTCCCTTATTTCCTTGTCTTTCAACAAACTTGGGCAAAAGGCTCTTAGCTCTGATGCTGTGGTAAAGCATTCCCAAAGTCATCTCCATTTCATGTAAGGTCTTTGGTTCTCTATGCTGGCTGCTATTGCTGCTATAGGTCTAGCAATGGATGCATTGCATTCTCTTTCTTCTTTGATGGTGGTAAGATTCTCAAATTTTGCTGTTGGATCTACTGAGTTTAATGGTGAGTCTAGCCAATCGCCTTGTGGATGGGATAACATACCCTATTTGCATACCTCTGCCCATCCACATGGCAAAGACAAAGTCAGTGGCTAAGAAATCTGTTTTTACCATAAACTTTTAATACTACACACAAACAAAGGTCATAGTTGTCTGAATAGTTCTCATGCTCTGCTTACACCTACACAAAAATTTGTGGTTTTTATAATAATTATTGGCTAGATTTTATCATTTTCTTTATAAATGCATTTCTATTGGTTATTTTGAAATTAACATAATTCACTTTAAAACTCCTGATTTTAAATTTGACACCATTAATATCTCATATCTCATAAAAATTAAGGTAGCAAATTTCCACATCCTCTCCTTGACTTGCATCTACTAATGTAATGCACATTGTTATGTAATTAGTTAATGGCAGCCAGGACAATTTTTAAATGTAATTAAATGGAAAGCAAGGGCATATTTTTAAGATTTCTAATATATTATTTACAATTCACTTATGTACTTTTCAGGATAGTTGTACATACACAGGTACTCCCAGAAGTATCAAACACAATTTTGTTGTGTTTTCATTCCATATTCTTCATAGAATATTTTTAATATCCATTCTTTAAGCTGGATGTTTTTGTGGTTCCTTGATCATAACATATCACAAAATCATTCTTCACACTGTACTTACATACACATACACACAGAAAGAGAGAGAAAGAGCAACAGAGAAACAGAGAAGCTAAAGGGTTATAACCCTTGATTTACTGTGCTAAAAACATTTTCAGGGACAAATGATCAGAAAAGTATAAAAATGTTGTTATTCTTTAGTATTTTAGCTTGACACCTTGAACTTTTATGTATGTGAAACAATAAAGATGATAAAGCTGTAAGGAATAAGCTGAGGACATTACAGTTCGCAGCCAGGACTGTATGGTTGCCCCACTTATATGTTTAGAATAGGATCTGATACAAGCAAAAAGAAGAAAATATATATGTAATTATTATGTAGAAATATGTAAAGCTTTTGTATAAAATAATGTCATATTTATCATCTTATTGTAGAACCAACTGATTCTTGGTGTGATGGGCGTTGATGTGTCTCTAGAAGATATTAAAAGACTGACACCACGTTTTACAGTGAGTTGCAATTTATCTATTTGGTACTTTATATATCTTAGAGCTTTGTACTAATTTAGCTTGTATGTGATCACTTTAATTGTTTTTGTCATGTGCCATAGAGTCGACTATGAATCAAAGTGACCCTATGCACAACAGCTCTGAACCCTGATCTCTCTTGAGCCAGTCTAAATCTCTCTGACACACATGTTCTCTCCAATAATCCTTTCAAATTCTAATTATTTTAATAAAAGAACAAATATTCAAAAGTATCCTTAAAATAAATGTAAATTATAACCATGCTATCCTTCATCATGCTATAAGATAATGTATTAAGAACTTAAAAAACATAATGTAGATTACATTGTGAGATTTAAGAACCTATATCTAAGCTTTTATTATCATTATTATTTCAGCTTTGCCCCAATGGCTATTATTTTGCAATTGATCCTAATGGTTATGTTTTGTTACATCCAAATCTTCAGCCAAAGGTATGTATATAATTTGTTTACAGTAATTAGTGTTCAGTGAAATTAATGATTAATTCTCTATGATAAGTCTGATATCTTTAAGATCATGACACAAGCTAAGTATAAGTTTGCATTGTTACTTCATCTATTAGCTTAGGAAGACCATTGTTTACAACATATGAAAATGTGAGAGTTTAATGATCATTCATCTATTTAGTAAAACCATTATTCCTATCTCAGACATGCTCATTATTGTCAATCTGCCTTAACTTACAAATCATCTTTTTTTTTTTTACTACAATTAAAGATTTAAAGTAGTGCTAATTATTGCTATAGACATGGACAAATCAGTAGTGTTATTTTATGTTCAGGCTGCATTTTATAGGACCCCTTTTCATCTGGTGATATCTCTGCTTACCTTTTCTGGAAGTACTTTTTTCTTTGTTTTCTCAGACAGACTTATGAAGATTGTTATGAAATGTAAGAGTAAAACTCCATATAATGGGTTTCAGAACTTGAGTTAATCCTGAAGGAAAAAAATCCCATATGTGGACCATTTCATCCTAATCTTAATGCATATTTTCCTGACATATAATTTGTTTTTATATAACATATCACCCACTCCTTTTAATTAATAATTATTCAAAATAGGCTAAATTTTATCTCCATGAAAGTAAGCATTGATAAAATGTTGTTACATTATTGTAATTACATAAGAAACTTTAGGTTATTGTTTATGTTTAAAAGAGCGTATTAAGAACACTTACCATAGTCTGTTGGGAATTGTACTGCTTAACTCAAAGGTGGTGCCTCTCTGGACATTCAGATCCACTGGTGGCCCCAAGGTAGAAAGATGGACGATCTCCTCCTGTGGGAGCTTCCTTGACAACCTTTGAATATCTGTTGAGATGTCAGTTATGAGTTGGTTTCTATTCAACAGCAATGGTCTTGAGTTTTGAGAGAAAGAAGTATATGCAAACTTATGCCATACTTAATGTTAGTGACCTGTTAAGATGCACATATTTAAATATTTTGTTAGTCAATAATAAAAATAATTTAATGGAACAGATTTGCCTAAGGAGCCATGATTAGCACAAATTATTGGCTCCTTATTTCTAGGCCACCAGAGCTCTAATAAGAAATATCTTATTAGATGTTTCATTTCAATTAAATCAATTCCAAGGAATATTTATTCTGCAGAAAATTGTCCATAATCTCATTTTTATATTAAAATTTAAAAGAAAATGGCGATGTTGTTGTTGAATCCTCTATTAGTTCCACAGATAAAATGCTTAGTATTTCCTCAGAATTATAAATAAATTTATAAATTATAAGAATTTAAGATTGATAGTTTTGAATATCCTGCTATATTTATGACGTGAATTTTTTTTAATTATATTTTATTAATTTTCATATACATTTACAGAGATTTTGGGCTTCCACTTATGACGTGAATTTTAAATGTAGATTAGTTTTTTGGGAAGGTTTTGTAAAGATGTTTTTATTTTGTTTGTCACTAGGAAAGTTGCCTGAACCAAACTTTTTCACTTCTTAAATAGATCAAGAGAAAATATGACTAGCTATTATATTTAGAGAATTTTGATGCTATTTTTCTTGTATAAAATTTTATACTCAGTGAAGATATTTTAAAGTTATTATTTCAAATACTGAATAATAATGTGCTATACTTTTATGTAGAATAGTTTTATTTCAATGTAAATGGGTAAGGTCTAGTTTCAATAAAGGAAATTATCTGACCAAAATTGCTACAGAATAGAACTTTAACTAATGTTGATATATACAATGATGAATTACCATTTATCTGTTGCTTTAGCCAATTGGAGTAGGTATACCAACAATTAATTTAAGAAAAAGGAGACCCAATGTTCAGGTAACTGTGAATGAAGTTAGGCTTAGTTTTGCTATCAAATTTGCTAAATGAGAATCAAGATTAAGCTTCTGTTCTTCAGAGTTTATGGTTATCATGTTATAAAGCCTCCTTGCCTCACATCTAGCTTTCGGAGCATGAGATGGAGGTGAACATAATCTCAATAAATTGGGTCAAAAATTGTTATTAATGATGCTAGATGGCCTGATGCACTGGCTTACTAAATTTGCTAGCAAATTGTGTAATAATTATGGTAACAATCAGTAATCATAATGAGTTGGCTTTCTAAAAATTTAAGCATTATAAATTAATGTTAAATCTATGTAATCTTAACAATTTGCTAATAAAATGAACTTTAATGTAAAAATAAAATTTTATACATAAACTACAAATTTTATACAAAAACTTATTATATTCATCTTTCTTTGGATTAGAAGTTTCTTTCATTTAATTAAAACAAGTCCAAAATTTTGAATAAATGATAGGAATTTTTATTGCTTAGTAAATTAATTTCAAAACATTTTCACGATAAGCAAAAGACTGAAAATTGCCATGGTTTTATAAGCACTAAGTTAAGGAGTGGAGTAAGATTCTTTCTGTTAGTATCTTCTGAACAATTCTCTCAGTGCTTTACATTAGTAAGTAAATATAGATGTGTAATAAGTTGGGTGAAGGGAAAGGCAATATATAACAAGAGGATTGCCAGGTGTTATAATTAATGTTCTAAAACAAAATGTATGAATGAGTACATGAAAAGGCATGTCATTTGTAAACTTTCACTTAAATCACAATAAAATAAAATATCTGAGCATGGAGGGACAGTACATGAAAAGAACACCCTGGATGAGATGGATTGATACAGTAACTAAGGCAATGAGGGTAGGTGAGACTGGCTCAGGACAGGGCAGGCTTTGGAACTGTTGTACATAGAGTCACTATGAGTCACAGGCAACTTGACGGCACATAACAACAACAACAATATATAAAAATGAAACTTCCTTCAATTTAAAACAAGTTATTAAGATAATTTCAAAATTCTAAAGCAAATCTAATATGGCATATAAATCTATCATTTCCTTTAAAAAGTTGATAACATAATAGGAAGGTAATGTTAAGAAGAGATTATTGAACTAGCAGAACAGGGTTCTACTTTGATTCTGCAATACCCCATGTCCTTGATCAGTTCTGTCCATGTGTCAGTACAGAAGTTTCCTGTAAAGAAAATAAAATTAAACACCCTAGGAAATGTATTTAGTCAAGAAATTTAAAAGACAGGCAGATAGGTAGATATTCCAGTCCCATCTCAGGGAATTGGAATTCTAGGTAGATATTCCAGTCCCATCTCAGGGAATTCTGACCTAATTTGGTCCAGAATGGAACCCTGACATCTAAGTATTTTACAAAGTTTCTTTTCAATTAAAATTATGTTTATACCTTTTCTTGATATAATGCTATTTTATATTACTCTTTCTGCATGATTGTTTTTTGCATTATTTAAATTTCTTTGCAGTTATGTATATTTTAATGATTATATAATTAAGAATCTCAACTATTGCATGAAAATATTGTAATATAATTAAAAAAATAAACAGCCTGAAAATGGTTTGTTTTATTTTTTGGTTTATGTTTACAGAAACTACAAATGGTAAACTAGCAGCCACCAAAGCTTTTCAATATGGAGAACTGTTCAAAATGTGTTATATTTTGGCAATACCAGGAAATAATAATGTCCATATGTAAATGTTAATAATATTACTGTATGTTAGGGATATCACTGTATTTACAAAAATAGCATGACAACTATGTCATTTAATATACAAACTTTACAAATTAAAAATGTGTGGTATTTGGACTGTCAAATGTTTGGTATTTGGGATATAAAAAAGTAATGAAAACACAAGCTTGAATTCCAGGGCTTGGAAATCTCAAATGTTGTCTTGTTAGAAAATATTCCCCTAGAGTTATTAACACACCATTCCTGTGATGTTTGTGGTTTGTTGTTCTTTTTTAAAAAAAAAAATGGCTGGCTAGATTACGATTTGAAAAGTACAAATTATGCATTGACATGTCTTTTTCTTTTATCATTTCATTTTCCTCTCTGTCTTTATATGTTGGATTGGGACATGATCTTCATATTGCCAATTCTCCTTGACAATGCCTCCATGCATGCTGTTTGGTTCTGGTCATGCTATGCATTATCCATTGCATGTAAGATAATGTTTTTATTTCTGTTATGTTTTATCATTTTGAAGATTTTAACCTTATGTAATGGGTTAAAATTTTAATGTTGATTAAGAAGGATGGTGGGTTTTTTTTGAAGATCATACATTTGATTTGTGGGACATTGAATAGTGATGAAAGTACTCTTTTATTATAAGCCTTCTAGGTTTTCCTTTTTTAAAACATTGCATTAGAACTTCTTAAAATATTAAAATTTTATTGTAAATATGCTTTTTATTTCAAATGTTTTGTTTCTACTTGGGAAATAAGTACAGTGCAGTTGAAATAATAATACAATAACATATGAAAAAATAATACTTCAGCAATATCAAAGAGCTGCCTTACTATAGAGAATACATAGATTTGAATTTTTTAAATAAAAATTCTAAATGCAGTTGAAAGTATTTTATTTTAAATTTCCACTGAGTATGCTCTTTCACCAAGGACAATGAGAATCATTTTAATAGATCCATTGCTTATAGGGTTAGTATCAATCAGAGTTGACTTTATGGCACATAAAATCAATACTATTTGAAGGATAATAATTTTTGTCATAATCATGAAATAAATATTTCCACTTGCATTGTTGTTTTATACAGTATATCTCCTGAAATAGTTTTAAAATAATAAGATTTAAGCATATTTTGAGCAGGACATTATTAAAGCATTGGTGACTCTCCTCTAACTCATTATAGACTTCATTCATTTGCTATCTAATTATTAAATGTTGATAATATTTCTTTTCATAAACATTCAAAATAAGCTTTCTAAATTTTTTATTATAGAATTATAGATCTGTATCATAATTTTAGTAAACTTTAAAATTCCATCTAGTAATTGCATTACAAGAATTATTAGGTATTTAACCCACTTGCAATTTAGATGGTATGTTTTTATTTTCCTGTTAGTTCTGTAAGTTTTCATTTGGTGATTGAGAAAGGAAAATATTCTATCATAGGTGTAATATGTCAAGATTATAGCTTCATTTGTTATAAATATATTAAAAAAAAAACCTATTGCATAGTGATCTTTATTATAACACACAAGTAAGAAGTTTAATTTTCTAAAAGTTAGGAGGTAGTGAAGCAAAAAGAGCATTTCTTGAACCTGGAGGTTATTATTCTTCAGATTTTTAAGTTAACGTTATTAGTCTTTATTAAAGTCTTTATGCATTATCACATATTTTCATATAAAATGTTGCTTAATTTTAGTTATTAAAATACCATATAAAATTTCTGAGATACAATTATATAAAAGACACTTGCATGTTTCCTATTTTTTTAGAAAAAAGACTATATCTAGAAGAGATTGTTTTACTTAGCAAATTTAGACAGTTTTTAAAACCTTTTCCCTCCTAAAATTTCTCAATTTATTTTTAAATGCAATTAAAAATGTTACCATTATCTTTTTATAAAAAATTACTTGAAAGACTTTATTTTGCCTCCTTTTCAGCTGAATTAAAGGGGGAAAGTTCTTAGCTCATCTTTAAAAGTTTTATTCCTACAGAGCTGGTGATTATAGCTATAGAACCTAATATAGTGATCAATAGGAGGTGTGGTTAATCGAGTTTTATCTGCTATATTTAAGGCTCACATTTCTAGCTCTGGCTGTTGAGGTTTATCATTGACTTGTGTGTTTAGTTTGTTGTTATGGTTATTTTTCTCAATCTCTGAAAGATACCATAATAGAGTTATGGTTCCAATTTCTTAATGGTACTGAGGTAAGTCATTTTTATCTAATTTATTTCATAATTCATTAAGTGGTTTTAAGTACAGTATCATGTTATAATATCCTATATGCTGACTATTTTTTTTTCTGTGTAGAACCCTAAATCTCAGGAGCCAGTAACATTAGATTTCCTTGATGCAGAATTAGAAAATGACATCAAAGTAGAGGTGAGTGTCATCGGTGCTGTATCACAAATTTTTCTATAAAACCTTGGATTACTTGGAATTAATAAAATTCTATAGGAAGGATCCTCAGGTCATTTGATAAGATGCAACCATTCCACAGGAATATATTGTTTCATTTTCTTAGGCTTTCCTCTTTTTTAAAAAATTTTTTTGGGTAATCTTTTTTAAAAAATCTATTACTTTTAATGAACATTTACAGAGACAGGATTTCCAGTCATTCATTGTTGCACTTTTCTCCCTGCACACCCCCTCCCCCCCCAGGCTCTCTAAGTAATTTAAATGTTCCTTGTTTTAAAAAAGTTTAAAATCCTGAGCTATCTTAATACTTAAAGTCCTGTGCCTTGAAGGAAATATTTATGAAGATAAAAAATTAATAATAATAATAATAATAATTATGCATTTCCCTTAGAGCAGAACTAATTACAATGGAGCCCCAGATTAGTGTTCCATTGAAACTCAGAAACTAAGGAGAACCAGGATTTGTGCTAGGCTCTTGGACTCTAGAACATAGATTATAATTCCTCAAATGAGTTGATTCTATCTCTTTATATGTAGAAAACTCATCCTATTTCTTTTATAAATTGTCACTGTATTTTTAATTTATACTTGTTTTACACATTTTATATTTTCTATTTCTTTATTGTCTGGCTCAGGACCGGGGAGGGTTCAGAGTTGCTGTACAAAGGGTTGCTATACATTGCAGGCAACTCAATGACACTTAAGACCAATAACATACTATGACAGGATTGGAAACAGGAGTGGCGTCCACTTCCTAAACAGTATGCCTCTGGAAACTCCGTGAACTTTGATAAATGTTGATAGTTGTAGAGGGGCTTCAGGCCTTTTGTTCATAGGGTCACTATGAGTCATGATCAACTCGAAGGCAATCAACAACATTCCTTTATTGTAAAAAAAAGTATATAATTATAATAAACTGTGGTACAGTAGTAGGATAATCTGAGTGATTAATGAATATTTTCATAAGGTTTGACATATAAAGTGGGAAAATTTAATGTAAAAACTGGGTCTCTGAACTTCTAGCTCCACAGAGTGACTTTAATGACTTTATTGAACCTTTGTATGAGTCATTATAATTATTTATTATAGTGATTAAAAGGAGTAATATTTATAAAGTTTATCAAAGGGATTATTTAAATTCTCTAATATTTTTAAATGTTTCATAAGTATACACCCATATTCTTTTATAAGCTGCATCTACCCTCTCTAAGGTAGAAAATATTTCAGCCTAATAACACATTCTTCTAATTTAAAGTATTTCTTGTATTAACAACAACCTTTATTCATCACTTAATATCTATAGTTACAGAAAGCTCAATTTAAATCACTGAATGAGTTACATAAAATAAAAAGTAAGTCATATTCTGAGAATGCCCATTAGACTGAAATTTTTGTGAATAAATATAACCTTGTACCTTTTTAGGGTCTGTGAAATTCTCATTAAGGAAACTAAGCTATATCCTAGTAAATCCATTTGAAATTTATCCTGTTAAATCATCATTGATTTTTATTTATTGGTACCTAAATTATTTTGTGTTACCAAATATGACAAATAAAAACAAACAAAAAATCAGAAAAATCTGTAAAAGGCTGAAGCTTGGCTAAAGCAGAAATCTTTCAGAGAAGGAAAATTCAAATGTCCTCCACCAAAATTTGTCATAGAAAAATGGCAAGAGCATATCCTGTCAAAAGTAGAAGCTTGTGAATTCCAGGAAAATCAAGACAGTCTCATTAAGTTCTGGCTCTCACAGATATTGCTGTGTAATATATGCTCTTAATTTTTTTAAATAATTTGTT